GGAGTATCCACCTTCCTCAGATGACTTAAAGAAAGGCCTCATGTGGGGGATGGTAATGAGTCATGGCAGGATGGGCTGATTATTCGACACAGCACCGTCATACAAAGACAGACCCAATTCAACCAGCTGCACCTGGATACAAAAGCCAAAAGCATGAATGGCAGGCCCTCTATTCCAAAAGACCACAGCCCCCTGAGGAAGGAAAACACAACCCCAGGTGGGATGCTGTGGTGAGAATCAAAGCTTGGTAGCATATTGCAGAGAAAGTTGTGAATAGCAGGGTGAAGAGGAGGTCCTTGGAGCTCAGTGTACAGACTCTGGACTGGTGAGGTATGGAAAGCCCCTGTGCAGAGCTGAAGCCCCAGATGGTAAATTGGCCCAACATCTTCAAGAGAGAGGCCCTGGTAGAACCACTGACCAGAGACCCATAGTCCAGTTTTGATTGACTGAGGGCACAACAGATCTTCAGCATAGAACATCAATCTGCTCCCAAGAGGTGAAAGAGAGGATATGGAGGATGTTCAGTGTCCATGTACACTTGACATGAAGCTGCTTAATATGAGGAATAAAAGTCAACCTGCAGTCACATACAAGTCCCAAGAACTTTGTCTCAGCCACTATAGGAAGAACATCTCCACTGAGACGGAGGCTCAGGATCAGGATGCAAGCTCTGCTGGTGGCAAAAGTGCATGCAAACAGTTTTAGACAAGGAGAAGGTGAAACTGTTTGCTAGGATCCAAGGTAAAAGAAAATTGAGGCAGTGTGAAGCTGCCATTCAATTAACCTAATGCTCAATGACTAATAAGAAATATGGAAATTGTTGACACAGAGGTTGTTTGCAACACTAGGAGGAAGTTGTCGAGTAATAGCATTGATTTTAACACTGAAAAGAGTAACACTCAAGACACAGCCCTGAAGGACTCCAAGTTCCTGTATGAAAGAACAGGAAAGGGTCAACCCCACAGAGACTTGGAATCGCCTGTCAAGTAAAAGGTTACAAATGAAAATGGGTAAATGGCCATGCAACCCATAGGAGTGGAGGTCCTGCAAAATGCCATACCTTCATGTTGTGTCATAAGTCTTCTCATGATCGAAAAAAACAGACACAAAATGTTCTCTCTTAAGGAAGGCTTACTTGATTAAGGTTTCAAGTCAAATCAGGTGGTCCAAGGTGGAGCATTGTAGAAGGAACCCCTATTGGGTGGGGAAGAAGAGGCTGTTTAATTCAAGGAACTAAACTATTGAGCATTAACCATCCTCTCCAAAACCTGACAGAGACAGCTAGTCAAAGCAATAGGACGAGAAGTGGAAAAAATCTCAGGATCCTTTCCAGGTTTAGAATAAGGTAGAACAATAGCTTTGCAGCAAGCATCAGAAAAAAAAATTCTCCTGCCAGATCCAGTTAAAAACAACCAGAAGAAGAGCAAGAGAGACAGGAGAGAGATGGCGCAACATCTCATGGTGAATGTGATCAGGCCCAACTGATGTTCTGCCAGACTGATGAAGAGCAAGCTTAAGTTCCATGAGTGTTAAAGGGTGATTCTTCCAAATCTTGTCCCAGACAAATCTGAAACTGTTGGTAGAAGAAATGCTGGTTGCAAACTTAATCCAAGATTCCTTCTGGCTTTGATGTCTGATCTGCTGAGCATGGGCATGGGCCTGCTGGAGAGCAATGTGGTTGAAAAGAGTGGAATACCTATGAAAGGCATCCCAGGCCTGTTTCTGAGCCTTCTCTGCCTACTGGCAGTCAGGAGACTACCATGGATGAGGATACTGTGGGAAACGTGTCAAGGTTTTGGGGATAGAACAAAGAGCTGCTTGAACGATACAATCAGTTACTGCCTCCACGTAGTTGTTAATAGATGGAAGACTAACAACAGCAGGATCTAGTTCCAAGAGAATGGTGAGGAGAGCCAGTCAACCTGCTCCAACTTTCACTGTGGCACTCAGGTCAGGTGGAATCAACTATGGCCAACCTTCCTCAAAACGATGGGAAAATGATCACTTCTCCATAGGTCACCGTCAACCCTCCTAGAAAAACGAGAAAAAAAATGAAGGAGAACAGATAGATAGATCAATAGCAGTAAAAGACTGACTATGTGCATGAAAACAGGTAAAAGAACCAGTATTGAAGAGAGACAGAATGTGCTCCACAGAATGACCCCTCCCATCAATATCGGCATGACCCCAAAGGGAATTGTGTCCAGTAAAGTCTCCCAAGATGAAAAATAGAGATGGCAACTGTTCTTTAAGAGCATCAAGGTCTGATTGATCTTAAGTCTCTCCAGGAAAAAGGTAAAGAGAACAAACAGTGATGGTATGACCCAAGGAGATATGGATGGCTACAGCCTCAAAGGGAGGATACAAGGACTCATCCATCACACAACTTGTTATTCCTGTATATAGAAAACTGCAAAAAGGTGACAATATCAGTAGGTCTCAGCAATGTTTCCTGTAAGGAGAGACACACAGGATGACAGGAATCAATTAAGACATTAATGTCATTCAAATCTGAATGAAATCCTCGCAAGTTACACTGTGTCAAAGTGGCTATTTTTATTTAGGTGGAGAATCCTTCTGCTTGCATCCACACTGTTTTTCTTTTGTAGAAATAGGTCTCTTGACCTCCATGGAACTTGCCTAGAGTCAACTAGGCAGATCTCTGTCAGAAGAAGGAGACTCCAGTGACTGAGGGCATGATTGATTAATGGTCCTGCATCTAAGGGCTGAAGGAGATGGACCCGAGAAGTCACTGGATTCAACAGTGGGGACAAGAGTAGACAAATACTTCTCAACTCATGCAATTATATAGGGCAAAAGACTCTACATATAGTGTGAGAAAGACTCTGATGGAGGCACAGAGATCTGTCTTCACTTCCACTGTTGCAGTGGAATAGAGAGCAGCAGAATATGTCTGAGATGGAACAGGGGACAACAATTTCTGAACATAAGTGTAAGAAATGATGTTTACAGTATATAAACGTTGTATCTCTTTTTCCTCCACCCATTTAGGGCAAGACTGAAAGTAAGAGGGGTGGGAACCACCACAGTTGACACAGTGTGGGTCCAGCTGACACTCGTAGGCATCATGGTCTTTGCCACCACAACGAGCACACTTCAGAGAACCACAACAAGATGACTTAGAATGTCTGAACTGCTGAGAATAGAAACACTCGAGGGGGTTAGGAATATAAGGCTGTACCTTACAGTTCAGATGCGACAATGGAAACATCAATACAAGAAAACTAGTAGGCAGCATAATTCGATCTTTATGAGTGGAAATACATTGCACAGCAGAAACTGACAAGGATCTCTGACTCAGGAATTTTTCATAAAGCCCTCTCAACAATCACCTATTCGGGAAAAATTCAAAGTAGCATGGGAAGTAACCTTAATAGGTATATTCCCAATGGCCTTAGAACTCAGGAGGAGTTCACTGTGTTCTGATGTAGATATTTCCACCAAGATGTCCCCAGAACGTAGCTTCTTCACTGACTTTGGAGAGCCAGCAAGCCCCTCTAATCCCTTCTGAATGGAAAAAAAAAGGAGACATTTGCACTAATAGTTTGTCTTATAAAGAATGAATGATGGAAAAATGAGGTACATATGTATAATGGGGTAGAGACTGCTGTTCAGAGTCTTCCAAATGTGGTCACTTTCCAATCAATGTTGTTGTTTTTTGGGTCACTGGGTGCAGGACCCATATAAAATAGAGAAACTTCAATGCCCACTGACCCCACCAACCATCGAGTCCTACAAGGGGATGCACTACAGTGCTAAACCAAAGCATTGTAGAGACACCAGGGTTTTGTGGGTACTATACCCAAACACCAATATCAGAAACAATGTCCACAACACCCACCGAGAACGTCCAACACTGCTACTTGGTGACCCTAGCCCAAAAAATCAGCCAATTGACTCTGAGGAAGCTATCACCCTTCTACAGGAATTCAAGGCCAAAGTGATGTGTTAAAATGCCACTGTCATAAAGGACACATAAATGACACCCCTCAACACCCAGGATTCTCTCCTCCCTTTCATGGGTTGCCACGCACAGCAAACACGTGGGTGGATACTAAAATCCCAGAAGAGGTAAACCAAAAATACACAACCATCCCTGGGAGGTCCCCTCACCACATACAGGAATCCACCTAGAGGGGTGCAGGTACAGGATTGTTAAGTGAAGAATAGATCAAACATGGATGGTAAAGGAAAATAAGCAAACACAAGTACACTTTGAAACAATAAAAATTTTTTTTCATTAGACAAATATTTTTAATGTCACCTGAATTGACCCAGCTCTTTCTGTTGCATCTGGCTGCTAGGGTCAATAAGAGCAAATTCAAAAGTCTATAGCAAGAAGAAGCAAAAAACAGAATTATGGAAATACTTGATTTTAACACTCTAGGAAAACAAAACCAGTCATTTCACAAATCTACATGTAATATACTTCAACCAATGGTCTATATGCAATCTTAAGCCAAGCTATCTGTATAGCTTGTTTGAGAGACTTAGGAGCACAGGTTTTAGAGGTTATACACAGGGAATTTGAAAAGTATATTGTATCTTAATATGAAAATCATCGTGCACTCTGACTAGTGAGAGTCAGACTCTGAGTTCAAAAAATCTACAGACAAATCTTTATTAAAAATAGTTGATTAATAAATCAGACTTTATATGTACAAAATATGTGTAAGGTCTACTAAAAGTTTGCCAAACTTTGTGAAGTTAGAATTATTACATTAAAAGCTATAGTATACATACTTTTTAATTACCGACTAGTATTTTATGGTGTGCAGATGATGGACTAGGAGTAAACAAACTTAATTGGAAACAAAAAACAAAATCATTTATAATCTGTTGAAACTGACTATTTATTAGAAACACAAATACTTTCAAAATTCAGTTTTTTTAAGATTTAGCTTCTATATTTCAAATTTCATAAAATCTCTTAATGTTATCCAAAAGATCTTAACTACGCAAATTTAAATAATGATTACCTTCACACCCCGAACTCTGAATTCTCTCAAAGCTCTGATCATTTTTGAAGCTGCTCCCCTCATGTTGTTTCCATGAGCAATAACCTTGACTAGAAGAGAGTCATAGTATGGAGATATGATGGCACCCGCATAGGTTGAAGCACTGTCTAATCTAATGCCAAAACCTTCACCACTACGAAACACCTACATGAAAAATATGTTAGTAAATTCATATTTATACATGAAACGTGTCTAATACAACCTAATTCTAATTGTGTGTCTGTATGTGATTTAAAAAACAAGAGCTTTAAAGGAATTTCAAGCTTGTATATAAATATTCTTAGCATGAGAAAGTTGTTCTTTCATACAAAAAGGAAACTGACTCTTCCTTTGTTATAGCGAAATAAACCAAAATTATTATGAGCTCATTGTAGCTAATAGTGAGTTGTATCTATTACAACTAAATGGATAACCACTTCAGATGTAAAAATTTTATATAAAACATTATCTATTACTCCAAGCAACAAAAGCACAGTACTATATTAAAATTATGAGGTTTCGATTTTAACGGTCATCCGAGGTGACTAAAAACTTCCTCTGACGACCAACTTAAGCTCCTGTGTTGTGCAACAGATGACTGGGGCCCTTGAACAGAAAACTTACTCTGAACAGAATCACAGTCTATTGTACACTTATCCATGCCCACACTACACACATAATGTTGACTCCAATCCTTGACCAAAATCATCAGTAAATTCCCTAACTATGAACCCCCACAAAAATATATTTTTGTCCATTTATTATTTTTAAAAAAGATTGCACTTTATACAAGAGAAATATTGGTACAATCTACCAAAAGGGTCTGAAAACATTAGGAAAAGGTTGCTTTTGTGATTGGCTAATGATGCTGTTTTAATCACTAAATATCATATTTGCTGCACCCCTTTTTGCCACTTTATGCACATTGTATAGAGTTCAACTGATCATGAATGGCTATGTGTGGTAACACAGTACACTACATACAGCTCAGTTACATTACCACACATTGTATTGCATGATGTTTGCATGCGTATATACGGATGGGCGGGAATTCACAACATAAATGAATACCAATAACATGAAAATTTTAATGAGATTAATTTCTAGTATAGATGCTTATGACAATAAAACTAACATGGCTGTCTTAACTTCTTACTGATAAACCTTTGGTAGGAACTAAAATGCTCAAATCATTGTTAATCATCACAGTCGAAACAGTGACCCCCTTTCAATTACGCACGTATAGGCTTAAGACTAATGTTAGACAGACACGACCAATCGAGTCTAGGAGATATGGAAGGACTAGCTACCATGAGAAAAGCAGGAAAATACATAAATTAAACAGAACATAATAATGATAAATGCAAGTAAAATTTTATGAAAGTTTTATCTGTACAAAACAGAATAACAACAAATTGTGTGTGTGTGTGTGTGTGTGTGTGTGTGTGTGTGTGTGTGTGTG